GGGCTCTTGTAAGACTCGGCGAGTAGGGTCGAAGTTTTAGCGTTCTTAGGATTATGGAACTCGACGAGTTATGGGGTCAACTCGGCAAGTTGGGTCAACCAAATGTTGACTTTGACCTAGAGTTGACTTTGACCAAGGTGTCGACTTTGACTTTGACTTTGACCCGATTTGACCACGAAATAGTAATTAAAGAGGATTGTTACGTGTAGGAATTGAGAGGAGTTAACTTAGGCACCCCGGTATGCCTAGCAGGGGTAGGTTGAGCACCCTGGTATGCTTAGCATGGTAGGTCGGGCACCTAGATATGCCTGGCAGTATGTTTTATGTATGGTATGTGGTATGATGGGGGAACTTACTAAGCTTTGTGCTTGCAGTTTTCAATTTTGTTCCAGGTACCTCTTCAGCTAAGGGGAAGGAGCTGGCACGGTAGCAATGCATCACACACACATGATTTCCGCACTATGATGTTCTTGGGATTGTACTCTGATACTATTATTATTCCACGATATGTTTATGACATTTGATTTATGGGATGTTATGATATCAATGATGTTTTTCAGTAAATTGTTTTATAAGTAACATAATTAAAATGAAATTTTTGGTCTTGAAATTTGGGGATGTTATATACTTACTTGGCTCGGCCGATCATGCGCATTGCACTATCCTCTTTTCCATTTTTAAGAAGTTTTTAACTTATATTTTTGAAAACAATTTTACCTTTTCCTTAGTTTGAGTCCTGACACACTTGAGAGTGTGTCCGAATCCCTCAAACCAAGGCTCTGATACCAACTTGTAACGACCCAATTTTCTCAAAAGAAATTTTTCATTTTTAAATAATCAAAATATTTCCAATAAACCATAATCTCAAGAACAATTGTTTTCAAATTCACAACATCAACAAATTTCATTTCAAATATCAGAGTGTCCTATAAAAATGTCGCGACATCAAGCCTTGCCCTTACCCTTAGGCTCAGAAGTAGCTGAAACAAACCAACAAAATGTAAGCTAATGCTTATTGAGTTCCCCAGAGCATACCCCCACATAGTCCACATAATTACATATAACATATTAGCTATAAAGCTACATAAAACACATAAGTCGTGCATATAAACATATAAGGATGCCATGGAAACCATCCAAGGTCTTACACCAAGTGCCACTGGAAACCCCCACGTGGTCTTTACTAGTCGCCACTAGAACCCCCACGTGGTCTTGGCTCACTGCCGTGGGAACCTCCACACGGTCTTCCCTAATCATAGAAATATTATACAAACTAAACATGTAAATATACTAGGAAGCCGTGGAAACCCTCCAAGGACTTATACCAAATGTCATAGGAACCTCCTCATGGTCTTAGCATATTGCCACAGGAACCCCCCCAGGGACTTCCATACAAGTGTCATAGCGACATACCTAATCAACTGTCTATCCAAATATATATCATAAAATAGGTTGGCCTTGGTGCCTTGGACCCATTGGTATGGTAAGAAGACTCACCTCTGTCTGCTGAATCCAAAAGTTGCTCTCCTAACAGTCCGTGAACACCCGTGCTGAACAATAATACCATTATCCCAAGTTAGGCTGAACATAATCCAATTGAAGAACCCAAACCCCAAATCCTTTCACAATGGCCCAAAAAGTCTTCCTTTGCTAATGGGCCCAAAGTTCATGTCCAAAATCATTAATGGGCCTCATGGCCCAATAAAGCCAACACATAGTAACCATGGCCCAATTACATATAAATTGGCCCACTAACTCAAAATATAACCAGGCCCAATGACTAATTAAGGCCCAAAGGGCTTACAAGCCCAAAACAAGTCTGAGTCGATTTAAGGTGCGTACGCCTTGCGTACCACCTTGGTACGCGCAGCGTACTGAGTCCCTGGGTCGTGCGCGCTACGTTCTCTAAGTTACACCCAACGTACAAACATATTAAGCACCTTCTTCCATTAAGTGCTTAATACTCGATGTTCTAACGTCCACTATTAGATATGAGCTCATTAAGACGTCCTAAGGCATAAAGTTGGCAACTTTATGCCCTTGTGTGCTATATGGAACTTAAAAACTTCATTCGTCACATTAGGACTTCATATAAAGCTTAAAACCCATGCATGAGTCTAGATACTCTTCAAGCTAGCACCTTTATGCATCTAGCATGCTTACAAAGCTCAGATCTAACCATTTTAGTCTCTGGAGTTGCTCAACTCTCAAGAGAAGGTCCAAAACCAACTAAAGGGACAATATAGAAAACCCTAGCTAGATCTAATGAATATGATGGTAAGATCAAGACTTTATACCTCCAGAGACTCTTCAAGGTGAACTAGATGCAGATTCTTGAAGCCCAATGCCACACTAAGCTTACTTAGCAATTCCTTCTTCTTGAATGAACTCTAAATGGCCACAAATACACTCCTTAAGCTCAAAAACACTCTCACAAGGTATCTCTAGTGTGGAAAGGCGAAATGAGGCTATAGAGGCTGATTAGGGTTTGGTCCAAGAGGCTTAAGGGTGTTTAAATAGGTGTCAAGTCCGAGAATTAGGGTTTTGGCCCTCTGTCGCGTACGTCGCGCGTACCTATACGTACGCCCTGTGTACGCGGCCACCCTCCGTGTTCATGCATCCTTAGTACGCTAAGCGTACTCCTGGAGTACGCCCCGCATACTAAGGGACCTTTTATGCCATCTTTTCCTTTTCAATGGTCTAAAGAGTAATACCTGATTTGGAGTGTTACATGATGCTTCACGGGACAACAAAGGTATGTTTCTATCGCAGGAAAATATGCTCATGACATTCTCGAATGGGCTCACATGTTAAACTTCAAACTGAATCACACCCCAACCGACACTTAGGAAAAACTGGGGCTCACCTATTGATGACCCCACCTTATATAGGAGCCTTGCTGGAACACTTCAATATCTATGTAACACCCGTTCTCGAGACCTAGAAATTTTGGCTATTTTTATAAAAGTGCATTTTTTGGAAAATAAAGTAAAATAAAAAATATTAATAAGATGAGAAAAAAATTAATTAATTAAATACTAAAAATATGTATGTTGCTAAGAATTAAATTAAAGGTTGTAGGAGTTAAATCAAAGAAATATTGTTAGAAGAGTCTTGGTAGTCAAATTTAGAATATCATATTTAACTTTTTATTAACTTAGCTAACCCTTACGGAATTAAAATGTTAGAAAAGGGATGGTGAAGTAAGAAGAGTGTAAATATATAACTGTTTGTACATTTTTTTGGAACATCTTACACATATACTCGCAACTCTACTCCTAAATCTACATATTTTGTCCACAATACGACTTGAACCCTCAACTTTTAGCTGAGAAACACTTATATGTCACTAGGCCAAAGGCCCTTTGGAATAATTGCTAGTATATTAGTTAGTCATTTAATGGTAAACATGTAAAATAAGGATCTTTATGTAATATTGTGTAAATTATCTATATAAAAGCTAGTATTCTTCCCTCATCTCTCCCATTTGATTCAGTTGATTAGTAGTGAAGAAAAAATTGTATAAATGGCGATTTCAAGCTCTCATGGTGGAATTGAAGCCTCTTTGGTGTCAAAGTGAAGAATCATCTATTGTCTCTTCATCTATTAGTGATTAGAGATATAACTTCTCTTCAAACCTCTTCATTTCATATCTAGGGTTTGATTTTTTTATGTCAAATCCAATTTCATGTTTCTTCATAGTGATTCATATAATTTCTAGTTGTTATCTTGTATCTAGAACATCATTTCATCATCAACTTCCTTTATAGTTGATTGATTGAATTTTGATGATGAGTTCTAGGTGTTTCTAACAATGAATCTCTTATAATCAAAGTTAATGATTCATTTGTGATTTAAATGAGTTTTTAATGCTTATACTATACTCTAGAACACCCACATCCTTACATACACACATGCATGTGACCACGCCCACATCAATTACCCATGTCCACTCATATGTGCGTATGCAAACGTATATGTACACACATGTTTTCTTTTTCTTTATTTAACTATTTAAATCCTCACCCAACTCCTGACTAAATGGAGTTAGACCTAACCTTAAGCAATATAATGTTTTTATCAAGTGCAATTATATGTTTTCATTTTGTAAAGCTATCTTCTCAGGTCTCAAACCCCATTTGTTGTATAGAAAAAGTAATGTCCTAAGATGAGAGGGTGGCATAGGTTGAAGTTGATGGGTTACCATTGTACACGTAAAGTACTTATGTTCATCGATGACGATCTTGAAGAGAATTTAAGTTGTGTGAGGATTTACATAAAGACTAGGTGTGATTCAATTAACTCAAAAAAAAAGGCAAAGGATAAAATCGAAGGAATTGATCTCGATGTCGGCATCCGAGATATTTTTGATTGGTCCCTACTATTAATAGCAAGGAGAGTAAGTTGGATGAAGATGCATAAGATCCTTATCATATGTATGATGCTTCCAAAGAGGAAGAAGATAGCGAAGATAATGATAATTCGAAGAAAAAAAATAATGTTGATTCCTTATATTGTGTTCCGGATCCTTCTGAGGACAAGGATGGGGTCGATGAAATATTAGACCATGTTTTTAATAATGCTAAGGGTGATTAAAGGGTGGATATGAAAATCACTATAGATTCGAGGACTAAGGAAAGTAGGGAAAAAAAAGAGTAAAAATAGCCTTCTACTAAGTGTGGTTCTTAAACGGCATAAACCAAATTCTATTCCCATTATGAAATATTTGGGAGCCTCGATGGAGATTGTTTTTATGCCTCACGTTACTACAACCATGGTCGCCACGATGGCCGAACCTATAGCGGTGGATGCCTTACTCGACCAAAATGGATCTCAATCCAAACATATCCTAATATCATTTTTTTTAGGATGTTAACATGGCAATAAATTCCTTATGGTGGGAAGTTTCTCTTATTTGCAGCATTTTTTTATTTCCTAATCGTTGTAAGACTATTACAACAATACCCAATTCTACCCAAGAATTGGGGTAATCAAATAGTCTCAACTTTATGCAAAAAAAGATGTAGAATATACAACAATACTTTCTTTGTTCTTTGAATTTCTATGCATCAAAGCATCTCGAGGACCCCATGGCAAAACAAATGTTAAATTACATAAGGAAGTACATGAAAGACTAGCTTGCCATGAGCCTAACCTTGATCAAGTTCATGCCACTCTCCAAATAGTATTAGTTGTACTTCAAGTCCTACAAGCTATCCGAAATACACCTCCTACAAACCTTCATGTTGAATCCTCACATTCCTACCATGTTCGTTCTCAAACTATCATATTCCATATTCAATGGCAACTTTTAAGCAATCTCAATTTTCAACAAGAAAGTAGAGGTAGAAAACACAAACACAATTCCCTTGTTATTCATCTTCTTCTTCAATTCATGTGTCATGTTTATTGCCAAAAGTCTAAAGCAAAACTACGTTTAGAATGACTGTATCGAGAGAAGATTCCTAATGAAACTAAAATCTAGATTCTAGAGTTTCCACAATGAAAACTTCAATTGTGGGGTGTTTATAGAAGATAGAAAATGCCTTGCTTTCATGGGACATAAAATGAAAAAGAAGACATGATGAGGATTCATTGTACATCAACAATAAGGAAAGAAACATGAAAATTGCACACCAAACAACTCCATTCAAAGGAAATAAAACATGATGATATGTCCTCCATCAAGAAAATTGTTACAAGAAATTTGAAACTTTTTTTTTTCAAACTAGAAAACAGAGTTTCAGATGAAGAGGTAGCCAATTCGATAATGGCTTTGCAAGAAACAACCTTAAAAATCACCGTGTCCTAAGATGGTAGAAACAAAAAAACAAAAAAAAAATCACCTAAAAACAAACAGCACACATATCTCACATAATAATCCATTCATTGAGGGTTTTTAAGTTTTGCACATGAAGATGACCTTAACCTGGTGAAGTGAATCATGGCACGAACCCGATATCCTTAAAGTATTCATGCTCCAGTGCTGTCCTCGCTGTAATTCTTCTGCTTGGATCCAAACACAGCATTTTCTGAAACAAAATTTATCATTAGATTAAATTAAATCAAAATTCAGTATTTGTTTGCTTTATAAATATATAAGTAGAGATTTGTTCCCTTGATAGAGAAAATAATATCATGGTCTGTTTGGTTTGCAGATTATCAATGGAATTGGAATTCAAGATTACATTCCATGGAATGTTTGGTTACCAAATGGACGGAATTGTATTCCGTCATTATCCTTTAAAACTAATCACCCTCGTTATATATATTGAAATAAATAGAAACAAACATTTAAATGTACATATTTACAATAAACAAAAATATTTAACACTACCCAAGTCCCAAGGGAATGGGGTAAGGGGAAAGTGAGAGGATAGAGAAACAAAAATAATTAATATATTAGAAACTTAGAAGTGATTTGATTTGAATTTCATTCCATAGTGTATTTGTGGTATTATTGAGTAAGATAAATTTGTTGAACATCAATTTCCCTTAAAAGTGTTCCAAGTTAAAGAGTAAACTTCATAAAAGAGACAAAGCAAGTATTCCAATGGGTTCTCGAAAAAAAATATCATGGCTTATTTGGTTATTGGATTCCAACGGAAATGGAATTTGAGATTCCATTCTGTGGCATTCAGAACCAATGATATTATCAGTTTGAACTTACACGTAGGAGATCAAGACCAGTTTTTTCAAGATTCGGTACCACAGTTGCCAGGTCCTGCAAATTAAAGGATACACCAATTACCACTTTTTTGACTAAAGACTAAAGTAAAAAAATAAAATAATAATAAAAGATCAAAAGGTTAAAGATTAAAGTGAAAAAAAGAAGACTAGTCACCTTTGAGGACCACTTTGGAAAGGCAGACTTAAAGTCAGGCAAAGAAGTCACACCAGGCCATGTATCTTCAGTTGGGGTTCCCATGATTCTATAATTAAAGAAAATAATATGAATGAGAAGAGAATATAGCAAAAAAAGTAGAAAAGAATTTGAATAGAACCTGAAAATCTTGAACAATTCATCAATCTCAGAGTCTCCAGGAAAGAGTGGTCGCTGATTCACCATCTCAGCAAATATACAACCCACAGACCACACATCAACAGGAGTAGAATAGTGGCGGGACCCAAGAAGGATTTCTGGTGCTCTATACCACAGTGTCACCACCTATAAAAGTACATCAAGCTGGCATAAGCAACGGAATCCGCAATTCCATTCCCTGATTCCATCATGAAAAAAAGAACTACCTACCTCATGTGTAAATGTCCTCACAGGGATACCAAAAGCCCTGGCCAATCCAAAGTCTGCAAGCTTTAAAGCATTGGTACGACGATCAATCAACAGGTTTTGAGGCTTTAAGTCTCTGTGGAGAACTCTATGAGAATGACAATAAGCAATGCCACGTAGGATTTGATACAAAAACGTCTGTAAATTCATCAAGATAACAAAAATGTGAGACTCTATGGTGTTCAAATATACTCAAAAAGGTTCGCTTACTTTTACAAGACGGGGATCCTTTGAAAACTCTGGACAAGAATCCATGTGTTTCTTCAAATCAAGGTCAAGATACTCGAAAACCAGATACAATCTTTTGTCACTGTGCACAACATCCTGTAACCTGACAATGTTTCCATGTTGCATTTCTTTCAAGAGTGAAATCTCTCTGATAGCTGTGCTAGGGACTCCTTCATCTTCTTGCTCCAGACGAATCTTCTTCAAAGCAATAGTTTCATTGGTGACTTTGTCACGAGCCTTGTAGACTACACCATATGTTCCTTCACCAATCTTCTCAACCTTCTCATACTATGTTTATACAAAAGTATTGAAATCAAGTGGTGGAAATGAGAATTGTAAATATTGGAGGAAGGTAATGGGATGTGATGTATTGTACCTGGTCCATCAAAAGTCCACTGAAATGGACTCGGTTGAATCTACATCCATATAGCACCAATTAATAAAACACACTCAGAAAAACTTCATTGGTACTAAAATGACATATTGGATACAAGGGCTTTAATCAAATAAGCAGCATGAATTACTCAAAGTTATTAACAGTACTTCCTGATCTAGCATTTCATTGAAAAAGCAACATGAAGTAAATCTAGTAGCATAAAAGTAGCCAAAAAACCTATCGATTATCAAATCATTATGCCTTTAATGATTGGTAATGATCACATCAAGCATCTAAAAGAGTTCGGTAAATATCTCCAACATTTCCCCCAAATGATTCGATCTTAGTAAAAGGACTTCAGTCAATCATCCAACTGAATGTCACATCGAAATCAACAAAAGCAGTACCGATTTACTAGATGAGAAGATCGCAATATGTAAAAAATTTAACCATCTACAATCTACGTCAGTTGAAGTACACTTCGACCAAGTCAAAGCAAAGTCACCAATTACATGTATGTTCTAAAGCAACATTTGCTATCGTTTTCAGAGTAAATGTGGTTTAGTCAACAAAATTCCAAAACATATGCAATTTCAAAGTTAAAATCTAAATAAAGTACTCCAAACTGTAACGATTGCAAGCTTAGATAGTGTTGAAAATGGAAGCCGTGATTTTCAGAGGAATCGAGAGTTGTTAGCATACCTGTGATGAAGAATCTAAGGTATTTGCTTGAAAGAAGATGAAAACCCCCTCTAGGTTTTGGGGGAGAACACGGTGTGAGGGAGAAGATATATGGAAATGGTGTGTATTTAATCACCAAAAGCTATGTATTTTTATTTGTTTTTAATATTTATAAGTATTTCCAATAAATGTAAAATAATTGCTTCCTCGAGGAAAAAATGTATCTTTAACTAACAAATAAATTTATGTCATGCGTTTACTCCTTTGAAAGATTTTTTATCATTATTTTTTTTTTTTACAATGAAAACCGGGAATGATAAAAAGTAAGTATAAAAATATTGAATTTTGGTAACATCAATCAATCACTTGAAAATGAAATTCAGTAAAATAAGTTAATCAATTTACAAACGATATACCAATTTACAAACGATATACGCTCTGATAAAAAGAACATGCTGAATAAACTTTTAAAAAACTATCAAATTGAACATATTATTTAACATGGTTCGGTCGATGTGATTTACGTCTACGGACGAACGAGAGATTGATGATTTTATTAATCTTCCAATAACAATGACAATCATTCATAAAATGTTGCACTTCACTTGAGCTCTAAATAAAATGAATCTTTCTTGTTGATAAACTGTTCTAAAATATATGTTGTCAAACTCAAAATGATTACTCTCTTGAAATTTATGCACTCATATACGCATGTATCTTACATATTGATTGTTGATGGAGATGTGTGGTTGTTTATGTAAGCATAAAGATACTCTAATTTTGATGGGCTAAGCACATCCATAATTAGGCCCTAAAATGAATTAGTCAATCACCTCACGTCATGCAGTTGGTTCTAGAATATCCAACCTTAGGGGGTGTGTATGATCACATGTTACGCACATAAGCAACGTATTCTCCATGCATGGGGTGCATTCAGCATCATATCATCATGTCCTTGAACCATTATGATCAAAAAAGCGCATTCTCTAGTCCAATAGCTTATTCTCCGTGTCAAGAGTGTGTTCTCCATGCTTCGATGCATTCTCATCAGGAGGAGCACATTCTTTAAGTGTTTGGTTACTTTGCCAAAGGTTAATCACATTAAGGACTTAAAATTATTTCGTCATTAGAGCATTCTCTTAATCAAATGGAGAATTATCTCTTTAGTCATTCTCTCACCAGGTGGGTATTCTCTCACCGACCATTTTAATCAAGTCTTCACAGCCCGACAATATTTCACTCAAAGGCTTGAACAACTTAGAGGGTGTTTGGTTTTTCTCTGCAGATCTGTGTGATCTCTTCTATCTGTGCAGACCACGTGTAGACATAAAGGTTTGCAGTGCGTTTGCTTTTTTGAAGTGCGCAAACATAAAAATGTATGCGCAAGGTCTTCACCACACAGACATGGGTCATCCTCTTCTAAAGTTTGTGAAGTGTCTTGAATCTAAAAAAAAAAAAAAAAAAAAAAAAATGCCTTTCTTTCTTTTCTATATGAGCCTCAATTCCTCCAAACTTCCCACCCTCGTAGACAGAACTGTTGACCACTCCCTATTCGCTCCGGCACCGTTCTTCGTTCATCACCTCCGATCAGCACCGCCCATCGCGCCCTCCTCTCCGATCGCAGGCGACCAGACGACATCTCCTCTCCGATTGCAGCGAACAGCGAACAAGTTTTTTCCTTTTCTCGTCGTTTTTTCAGTTCTAAAATGAAATTGAGGATTAATTTTGCTGGAAAACTCTCTAATGCATTGAAATACTTGTTTTTTGATATTGGAAATCCGAAAATATTGAAGAAAATATATTTTCTTGCTTCAAATTCTTGTTAAATGTTGGTGAAAATCAATTTTTCTCCATAACATTGTTGAAAAAGTCTATAATCTAGTTAAATATGTTGTTTGATTTTTTTTGTTGAAACGGTTATGATTTTTGCTGAAAATACTCTTTTTTTTATGAAATTGTTGTTAGAATGTGCTGAAATCAAGCTTTTTTCTTGATTAAAATATGAAATTTTTTGCTGGAAATATGAAATAATGTTGTGAATGTTGTGATTTTTGCTGAAACTACTCCTTATTGCTTCAAATTGTTGTTGAATGTGCTGAAATTTGTTGTTGAATATGCTGAAAATCGTTATTTGGTTTTAGAATTATGAAATAATGATGTGAATGTTGTGATTTTTGCTGAAAATACTCTTTATTGTCTCAAATTGTTGTTGAATGTGTTGAAAGTCATTATTTGGTTTTGGAAATATGAAATAATGATGTTAGTTGTTGAGTGTTATTTTTTTGTTGTAATGTGTATGATATGCAATACCTTATGAAATCATATTTGTCAATTTGTGAATGCTACAATGTCTTATGAAATATTATTTGTCTATGATATGTTGGTTATTAGAAATGGGAGAAAAACATCAATGGACCAATGAGCATTTGAAATGCTTATTGGTTATTTGTATTGAAGAAGTATAGAGTGTTGGTAGAAAATGATTGAGTTTGTAGAAATATTCATGGATAAGGCTTGGAAGAGTTCTTAAGGAAAAATTTGGCGTTGATTTAAGTAAAAAACAATTGAAAATGCATATGACAATCTGAAAGTCAAACACACAGGATGCGTATATTTAAAAAACAAAACTGGTAATATATACAATTCTCAAACAAACACTTTTAACTTAACAGTGGAGGAGTGAGATGATTTTAAGAATATATATATATTAAACATTTACGTTTGAAGTTGCCAAATATTCTTATACTATTTTTTGTTACATTTGGGTTTAGGGGCATCCGAAGGCTGCTTCATTGAGAACAATTTCACTGCCTTTTCCAGATCTTTATGCACGTCTTTTTGATGGAAATAGTGTCACTGGTAATTTTAGGAGTTACTCAACCCAATCATCATCGGTAGTTGGAGCATCCTCTTGTCGTGTTCCACCACTTCAGATTACCGACACCCATTTTCTTGGAATAGATGATGATGGTGATGACACTTCCCATTATGAGCCACCACCTTCTGCTACTTCAACATATACTACTTCACCATCCGGTAACAACAACAAAAGGGCTAAACCCTCAATTCCTATAGCCCCTAGTGTCTCACCGTCTGCTTCTTCACCTGATGGAACTTCTATTACTACTGACGATTTAGAATTTGAAATGAAAAAAGCTCTACAAAGTTTGAGTAAAGGGTATACAATTCCTCAATGTTTAGAGAAGTTAGAGGTGCTTCAGTTAGGCCCTATATATCTTTTACGCTTTGTTGCATATCATATTTTTGGAGGGACTATGAACATGAGAGAGATGTGGATGCATTTGCCCGATGTTCCCGAGAGATTACAATGATGGCTTGAGATGACGGGTACAAGTTCAGGAGTTTTGAAGGATGAAAAGATTATCTGATGATTTTTCTTGTGTTGAAACTATTTGTTATGTATTTTTACCTTTGTTGTAACTATTTTGTTAGGTCTTTTTGCCTTTGTTGGAACTATTTTGTTAGGTGTTTTTGCCTTTGTTGGAACTATTTTTTGTTATTTTGCTACTTGGAATATGGTTAATGTAGTGTTATTTTGCTACTTGAAATATGGTTTATGTAATGTTTTTTTTTTGCTACTTGAAATATGATTAATGTAGTGTTATTTTGTTACTTTAAATATGGTTTATGTAATGTTTTTTTTTTGCTACTTGAAATATGATTAATGTAATGTTTTCTAAAGTTCTACTTTGTTGTTTTAGGTTCATAATGGATCATGATCAAAAGAAACTTCTCGTAATTCTTATGTACCTGTACATTCGTAATTTTTGGAAGAGGAGTGTGAAATGATTACGGGATAATGATTCGGAAATGACGGGACATGAATACACATTAGAGTTATTGCATTGTAATCGTTTATGATGTGTTGAAGTATTGTGCATGTCCTGTGACTCTTTTGTACAACTATGTGCTCATTTTAGAGCAAATTACTCATTAAAGGACGGCAAGCATGTATCGGTTGAGAAAAAGATGGCTATGTTTTTTATGATGATTAGCCATAATCAACGTTGCATGATTATCAAGTGGAGATCTCAACACTCGAAGCAAACAATTCATAAATTTGTTTATGAAGTATTGGAAAAATGATGCTTTTCGCACAAGACGTTATATTACCAACTTATTTTAATCTGAATCCAAACATTCCTAGACATAATAGGAGGCTACGACGGGTTTTCAAAGGGGTGGTTGGTGCACTTGATGGCACTTTGATACATGTTGTTGTTTCTACTAAGAAACAAGACTTGTATAGAAGTAGGGGAAAGGGAGATTGCTACCAAAACGTATTGATAATTTGTGACTTCAATATGATTTTTACATTTGTTGTGCCCGAGTGGAAAGGGGTAGCGCGTGACTCTAGAATATTATCAGAAGCAGTAGCCGATCCACAAGCATCATTCCTGTTTCCACCACCAGGTAAGTTTTTGTTTTTTTTTTTAATTTTTTTATCTTATTTTGAAAATTGATTAGTGTTTTGCATTTTTTTTTACAGACAAATATTATCTTTGTGATGTCGCATATGCACACACTCGAGGATTTATGGCCCCTTATCGTAATGTGAGGTATTGGGTTGGAGATTTTCATCAAAGACGTGCATTGAACAATAAATAAAAATTTAACCATGGACATGCAAAACTTCGAAATGTCATTAAGAGTGCTTTTGGTGTTTTGAAAGAACACTTCCCTATATTGAAAAAGATGGCACCATTCTCGTTTGTTACACAAAGAAACATTGTCATGACATGTTTTGCGCTTCATAATTTTATAAGAAGATAATGACTGAGTGATGAGTATTTTGCACGATACGATGAACACAATGTATCATTTCGAAATAACAATGTGGTCATTGATGATGATGAATATGAGATTCCAACACATGGTACTATAGCAGAGCGTGAATATATAACCCAGTTACATGATGAAATTGTTGAGCAGTTGATGCACAATATAGATTGAATTTGTTTAAATGAAATTGTTATTGTAAAACATAATTTTTTTTTATTGTGTGACTAATTTAGTTGCATGAATTTTATTTTCAGTGTTGTATGACTATTATTATCAAATTTTTGGTGTTGAAAAATCATTTTAAGTTTGTAAAATCATTTTATTTAAAATTTAGTTCATTTCAACAGTCTGCAGACGTTAAAAAACAAACAGTCTTCTTATTGCATACTGCAAACGTTTGGTCCATCTCTTCTGCTGCAAAGGCTAGCAGGTGTAGTCCACAAACTGCAGATATTTTGACTTCAGAAAAACAAACAACACCTTAGTCTTTTTTCTGTTATACAACTCCTCAATATTTCTTAATATCTCTCGGTCTCTATCTCTCCTGCCATCCTTTTTCTCAAACTTATGGTCGGACAGTTGAAGTCATGCAAAACTTCAATTTCTCATTGGTAACCACCTTGGTAAACATATCAAATGGATTCTTCTTTCCAATTATTTTTTTCATATTCAAAGTTCCATAATTGATTAACTATCAAATTAAATGGTACGTCATCGAAATGAGATTGAATTCTTTGTTGGGTGAACTACATTATGGTTGTCACCATGCAATACATAATCCTTTTTATGCATTTCGAGCTATAATATGAAGTTCTTTAACCATATAAGATTTTTGGTTGCTTCTACAAGATCCATATATTATGCTTATGTGGTTAAAAGAACAACACTCTTTTGTAACCTAACGTACAATTGATTGTTGTACCTACGATCGTGAGCACATAACATGTTGTGCTTTTACCCGAATCAGCACATCCTCCCAAATCTGAATCAAAGAAACCTTATAAGACTACCCATTTCTTCTGAAACATATGGAAATCTCAAAATGTTTATTTAGAATGGTGTAACAACCACTTTAATCCTTCTTAATGCTCTTTTTCTGGATTTGACATGAATCTGCTCACAACTGCCACTCCACAAGCAATGTGTGTAACACCCTAATTTTTTTAAAACATTAATATATTAAATATTTTCTCAAAACAGACCGAATAAAAACTCTTATTATAATTAAAGTCAAAAAGGCAATATGAAATAAACAATGTAGTGAAAGTTTTGAACTTAATTTAAAATACTAAATATGAAAATTACTTTTCTTTAAAATTATTATAACATTAATTTGTATAAAACATAAATAAAAATATAAAGGAGGAATACTTAAAGGTCATGAACATTATTATCGAGTGCGAAGCAGTCATGTTGAATCTCTAATTTTCCTGAAAAATGTTAATACACAACGAGTAATCATAAAGCTTAGTGACCACAAACATGACTCACCCATTATATAAATCATATACCTTCATATATAACATACTTTCACGATTCATACATTACATAAAACATATACCTGACAATGGGTATTACAATTCTCCCCCACTAGAATCAGACTTCGCCTTCGATGTCAGCCGCTACGAAAAGATAAGGATAATGCTCATACATCTCATCCTTGGGCTCCCAAGTCCACTCGGAGCCTTTCCGATGTTGCCATTGAATTTTGAACAAGTTCACTACCTTGTTCCTCAAGGTCTTCACCTTCCTATATAGAATCGTTGTTGACCTTTCAATGTAATTCAGGAGACCATTTACTTGAATGCCATTCACAGGAACCACAGTTGTCTCATCAGCCACACACTTCCTCAACTAGGAAACGTAGAAGGCATCATGAATCTGACTCAACTCCTCACGTAGCTCTAACTGGTATGCCACCTTGCCCACTCGGGCTACCACTATGAAAGGGCCAATAAACTTGGGGCTCGGTTTACCCCACTTCCTAAATCGGATAACGCCTTTCATAGGTGATACCTTCAGGAGCACCAAATCTCCAACTTGAAATTCCAATTCAAAGCATCTTCGATCCACATAACTCTTTTGGTGGCTCTAGGCTATCATCAATCTCTATCTGACATGTTGGATAAACTCTGTCATCTTGAGCACTATCTCAATGCTCCCGTGACTCTCTGTCCAGCCTCTCCCCAACATATAGGAATTTGACACTTCCTCCCATATAGGAGCTCGAAAAGAAGGCATGCCAATACTAGCATGATGGTTGTTGTTGTAAGAAAACTCAACCAACAGAAGGTAGGAGTCCTAGCTCCCACCAAAGTCAATGATGCATGCTCTCAACATATCCTCGAGCATCTGAATAGTCTGCCCGCTTTGTCCGTCTATCTGTGGATGCTAAGCAGCACTGAAATGCAATCGAGTACCCAACTCCTCATGAAACCTCTTACAAAATTTGGAAATGAAATGAACATCCTGGTCTGACACCATGGAAGTTGACACCCTGTGATGAGCCACTACCTCTCAGACATAAATATTGGCCAATTTCTTGGCCGAAGAGCTCTCATATATTGTAATGCCCGTGTTTCTGGGTTTGTCATTAATAGCGATGTAATATTTTAGGTTAACCTTTGTAACCCATCTTGAAATAATAAAAGATGTATTATTTAGATATTATGTGTTTTGTGCTTAGTTGTGTGACTTAATTAAATTATGAATGAAAATAAGCGTCAAAATAAAATGTTAGATAAAACCGATATATGGATAATGTTGTAGTAGTTGAAACGAGGCTTTCGAATATATAAAGAATGCCGAAATCCGAGTAATAACGAAGAAGTTATGACCTGTCGAAGTTTCGTGACAGAACCGGCACGACGCTGAATGACGTAAAATACGAAATTAAGATAGAGCGATATTTAGCCCTAGTATTCTAAACGAAAGTCGTAGAATACGTTAAACCGAGAGCGTGTATGAAAATAATGCCCAAATATGACTTCGTATGAGGAAGTTATTATTTTTCCGAAGTTTTGACTTAGCAGTATGCAGCCCGAATCCTCGATTTTAGATCGAGTGATTTTTAGCCGAAACAATCTAAATAAGAATCGAAGATCTCGTCAATGGTAGTGCAACGGTAAAAATACAGACGAAAACGGAATTCAGATGAAGAAGTTTTGAATTTTTAACGAAGTTTTCCTGTCCCGGCCTACTAAAAATATTATATTTATAATATATCAAAAATAAAGTCAAAATTAGCCAACGGAGTCTAAATGAGAGTTGTAGAGCATAATCTCACCTACGCGTTGATATATAGAATGTCGAAAACAGAGCTCGTATGCGAAAGTTATGGATTTTTGAAGTTCGGGGCATGAACCCCAAGGTTGTGTCAGAGCTCACGAGGTGAACATATGTAGTTCACGAGGTGAGCATTAGTGGCTCACGAGGTGAACAGATGATGGACGTCTTCCAGGGCAAGTGGCCAAGAGGAACGCAATGATGTATAGAGCTCACGAGGTGAGCATATGTAGCTCACGATGTG